TGAGGTAGGAGAATGGCATGAATCCGGGAGGCAGAGCTTGCAGTGAGCTGAGATCGCCCCACTGCACTCCAGCCTGGGCTACAGAGCGAGACTCTATCTCAAAAAAAAAAAAAGAAAAAAAAGAAAAACAGGTAGTTGCACTGAACTGTTTATGTAAGTTAGATTCTATTGTGACAAGTGCATTATAACAAAGATCTATTGAAAAGCCTTGGGGGAGGAATTACAAAACAGTAATTGATGTCTGTTATCTTATGGTAATGGTTATACAGTTATATGGCTGTGCCAAAACTCGTCATATTGTAAACTTTAATATTTGCAGTTTATTATACAACAATTACACTCAATAAAGCATGGGAAAAACACGTTTCCTAGCCTTGCTATTCAAAGTGTGGTCTGTAGACAGCAGCATCGGCATCACCAGAAAGCTTATGAGAAGTGTATTCTCTCAGGCCTCCATCCATACCTACTGAGTCAGAATCTGCAGTTTAATAAGACATTCAGGTGAGCCTGTCTGGAATTCATCTCCCACAGTGAACTGTAAAGGGAAGTTATATTCTCTAATTATTTTATTTTTTAGAAACAGGGTCTCATTCTGTCGCCCAGGCTGGAGTGCAGTGACGCCATCAGGGCTTACTGCAGCCTTGATCTCCCAGGCTCAAGTGATCCCTCCACCTCAGCCTCCCAAGTAGTTGGACCCTAGGTGCATGCCACCATGCCCAGCTAATTTTTTTTTTTTTTTGTAGAGACAGGGTCTTCCTATGCTGCCCAGGCTGTTCTCAAACTCCTGGGCTCAAACAATCCTTCTGCCTCAGCCTCCCAAAGTGCTGGGATTACAGGCATAATGCACTGTGCCAAACCCTAATGTTTTTAGTCATTAAGGGCAACCACCTACACAATGGCCCTTGAAGGTTCTATAAGCAAGAGGTTCAGATGCTCGGTCTGGAGGATGTTTGGGTTTTCCAAGCATATTCAATATGTTAAGTTACAAAACAATAAAAAAGTCCATATAATTTTTTTAATGTATGTCTTTTTTTGAGACAGGGTCTCACTCCATCACCCAGACTGCAGCGCAGTGGTGCGATCTCGGCTCACTGCAACCTCCACCTCTCAGGTTCAAGCAATTCTCCTGCTCAGCCTCCTGAGTAGCTGGGATTACAGGTGCCTACCACCACACCCGGCTAATTTTTGTATAAAAAGTCCACGTAATTAATTAATTAATCAGCATATTTTACCTACCTTCCTAGGTGTATTATATAGGTTTTAATAATTATTGTATACTTTTTTAAATAACCTTTTTTTTTCTGATTACAAAAGAAATGCTTATTGTGAAAACTTGGAAAACAGAATCTATCATTTCATGAAGAAGGGCTGTATTTACCCTACTCATTATCATCCCAACGGTTACTGAATGTTAAAGGTAGGACACTGAGCTAAACACAAGGGAATATATTTATAACATTGTGAAGGTTAGGCACATAATATGCATATTTTTAAGCTAATGAAAGCTAAATATAAAGATCCAAGCTAAGTGGGAAGAACACAGACCTTAGAGCAGTAGAATTAGTTTTTAGTCCCCTACAGCTAGAAGTGGGTTTACCATAAAGTTAATGAAGCTCAAGCTTCAGGGCCCCTTGCTTACACAGGCCCCTCCCAAGGCCCTTAGAGTGGACTTAGCAGTATACGCTTCTGTAAGTTTTGAGAGTAGGATATTCAAGACCTCTGTCTTCATTTCTAACTTCCTTTCATCATCCTCCTCTGGTTAGGAGCTACTGAAATGGCTATAGGCTTTGTGGGGGATTTGGCTAAGGAGACAATGAATAGGGATACATTTAATTTGGAGTTAGTGGCATGCATTTAAGTGGTTTGCAGTCACTTCTGCATGTTGTTAAATTTTTGTTCACCGTGGGTGTAGGAATGGCTTTTCGGAATATACCTACTGCCCATTATGTCAATTTAGCCAGCACTATGTCACAAAAGTGCAAGGCCAGAGTGGGAAGGAGTCCTATGTTGCCTGACACAGGAAGTACTTGGGTAGTGGAGGAGAAAGAAGGTTTGAAAGAAAAGAAAGAGCTAGTAAAATTCTTCCATTGCTTTTCCTCCTCTGGGGACGTTGCCTATAGGCACACAGAATGGTCCAGCGTTTGACATACTGTTGTAGGCTTTCCTACAATACAGCTTCTAACAAAACCAGGCTGTCCTGAACCCCTGGTAATAGAATTGCTTACCTTTATACCAAGAAGGCTGGGAAAGCACCAAAATCTACTGTGGTGTGTACCCAAGCAGACTTCAAGGGGTTCCTGCTGTAAGACCCAAAGTTCTTATGAGATTGTCCAAAACAAGAAAAACCGTCAGCAGGGCCTATGGTGGTTCCATATGTGTTATATGTGTTCGTGACCGGATCAAGCACGTTTTCCTTATCGAGGAAAAGAAAATCATTGTGAGAGTGTTGAAGGCTCAAGCACAGGGTCAGAAAGCTAAACAAAAAATGAAGGTTTTTTGAGTAACTAAAATTAGAAGACTTAAAAAAAAAGGTTCCAATCATCAGAAGTGAAAAATTGTAAGGAGAGGGATCAATTTTCTCAAAGCCTAATCAAAATGAAGGTTCTCACTCACTGAGAATCTAAGTCATATCTGCAATTATAACTGCACCATACTTCTGTTTTTATGTGAATCATGCAAAAGGGAATAGATTAGAATCCCTATGTTTATAGGACATAAACTTATAGTTGTACTACAGTAAGTCTGTCTGTATGTGAAGTTATATGTCTTATTCACCATAATGGATCAGATCCTGTCTGAATGTAGCCTACAAATCTTGTCCTGAAAAAACTCTCTAGGGCTTCAGTAAAAACCACACACAGAATTGTCACTGAAGCAGCCAAACAGCCATAAAATCTCATAGCACATCTATGAAACTTGAGAGAGGTTTCCCAAACTGAACAATAGCCCTAAAAAAGTACATAACAATATCAGTAATGAGTTGTGATGCTGAAATAAACTTATAAACAATTATTAAGAAACTAATTTAATCAGCCATACTGGAGAAAAGACTGATCTTTCTCTTTTCTTTACAGAAAATTACAAAATAGGCCGGGCACGGTGGCTCTCACCTGTAATCCCAGCACTTTGGGAGCCTGAGGTGGGCAGATCACATGAGGTCAGCAGTTCGAAACCAGCCTGGCCAACATGGCGAAACCCTGACTTTACTAAATTTACAAAAATTAGCCGGGCGTGGTGGCGGGCACCTGTAATCCCAGCTACTCAGGAGGCTAAGGCAGGAGAGTTGCTTGAACCCAGGAGCAGAGGTTGCAGTGAACCAAGATTGTGCCACTGCACTCCAGCCTGAGTGGCACAGCAAGACTATTTCC